TAAACCGGACACCAATAGCCCAGGAAACAAGGGCAAGAATTAACAAGTGGGACCTCATTAAACTAAAAAGGTTCTGTACATCAAAGGAAACAACCAAGGAAGCAAACAGAAAACCCACAGAATGGGAGAAAATCTTCACCGGTGACACATCCGATGTAGGCTTAATATCCAGAATATATAAAAAACTCAAAAAACAGAATCAAGACAAGAAGTAACCCAATTAAAAGATGGGCTAAGGAGCTGAACAGAGTTCGCAAAAGAAGTAAAGATGGCTATGAAACATCTAAAAGATGTTCAACATCACTAATAATTAGGGAAATGCAAATTAAAACCACTTTCAAATTTCATCTTACCCCAATCAGACTGGCTAAGATCAAATGATAATGATACCAAACAAATGATACCAAATGTTGGAGAGGATGTGGGGAAAGGGGAACACTCATCCACTGCTGGTGGGGCTGCAAACTTTTTCAACTACTATGGAAAGCAGTGTGGAAAATTCTTAAAAAAACTACAAATGAACCTACCATTTGACCCAGTTATACCACTCCTTGGCATATACCCAAAGAACTCATCCTATTTCAGAGACACTTGCACATCGATGTTTGTTGCTGCTCTTTTCTAAGAGATGGAAGCAACCTAAGTGTCCCTCAATTGACGAGTGGATAATGAAAATGTGGTTCATTTATATGATGGAGTTTTACTCTGCAGTCAAGAAAGCTGAAATCATGAAACTTGCAGTTAAATGGATGGAACTTGAAACTGTTATGCTAAGTGAAGTAACACAGACTCGGAAAAAAAAATCAACATGTTCTCCCTCATATGTGGATCCTAGAACCAGACTCTGATAAATGAGTATGTAACCAGACATAACTACCAGGTACCAGGATAATGGAAAGGAAACAGGGAGGTAAAGGAGAAGAAAGAACCTGCAAGAGAAGAACAGTAGGAAACAGGCCTTAATACAGTAGATATAAATAAAAACTGGGTTAGTTTAAGGGAGGGGGAGGGAAGGGTATACAAGGAACCTAGGGGATAAAGGGAAAGAAGGAGCTCAAGAGAGGTAGGACCATAGGACAAGGGTATTATTAAAGAAGAAAGGGGGTAAATGGGGGCACCTTAAGTGGGAAAACCGTGCGCATGACAGAAGTGTTAGACAGTGGAAGAGAGGGGAGAGATAAATAACGCCTAGCTAGTTTTGAAAACCAGAGGGAACCACATTAGTCCAACAACCTACAGACAAATAATTCATACCAGATCAAGAAATATATGTACAGGTAAGGTTTATATGAGACAATCTTTGCCCAAGATTTATCTACATGGCACATCATGATTAAAAGTACCAGACTGGTAGAACTAACATTCTTGAATGTTTAGCAGACATACTTTGAGGCCTATACTAATTTGGTCAGAGGGACATAAAGGACAGTTTTTGCTCCTTGACCTCCTCGGTCGACTAGTTCCAGGAGACTCTGAGCATCCCTCAAAATGTCCTGTAATTGTGGTGGGTCACTTGTCCTCTTGATCAAGGAGGCCGAGGAGACCCCACCAGATGGACTTGAACCAGTGTCCAGTCTACAAAGAGGAGGGTCAACACAGAGGAATCATTTCCTCCATGCTTCCAAGCGAAGCCAACCATGGTCAAGCAGGACCTTTGACTTGTCTTCACATACGTGGAACTGGTAAAAGAAAAGATCCATGGGCTCCTCCCAAGCCCATGTGACCCCTGAGGAACAGATCCTCAAACGACCTTAAGAGTAAAAATATATTGGCTTATCTGGGCCAACTGTATGGTCTTATACACCCAAAAGGAAAGTATAACCAAAGATTAAAGGGGCCAATGTAATTTATTAAGAGTCCATATGCATAGCTAAAGGCTACATAAGAAGAAACAATGCCACATAGGAGATACCTTCTTTTGAGTTGTTGGCCAGGGTGGCCAAAGGGACTCCCAGATAGTAACCCAGCATAGAACTGGGAAAATGAACAGCAGACCCCAATGTTATCTAAAGGAATATTGACAACTGATTGCTGCTAGATGAGGAACAGCTGACCCTCCTAAAACAAAGACCTCTAGGTAGGCTGACTAGATTCACCAGAAGGGCAAGTAGTGGGGAATGGCTAGGGGTGCCAACAATACAGCAGAGAGTAGCAGGGATATCAGAGTATAAGGGATCTAGTCAGGGGAAGGAGGCTATGGGAGGGTGCCATCTGGGAAGTGGGTGTATAGTTGAATAAGAGTGTTTGGGATGTTCTGTGTGATATACACATGCACATACACAAAACAAATTTTTAAAAATGTATTACATTTGAGGAGGGTGCATGGAAATTTATGTCATGCTAATTAGTAGAGGTTATAAACATTACCATTGAAATCTACCCGATGACTTTATAGACATACACAGGCACCAAGGATCCGAGTGCAACTGATTATGACTAGTAATAATCAGATA